AATTTGTGTCCAGCAGGTTAGGCTACCGTAACTGCCTAGTCACTGAGGTCTCTAAATGAACAGCAAGACAGTTCTGACTAGAACTAGGAAATACAACCATATTAATCCAGTACTCAGGTCTCTGCACCTCCTTTCACTTAGAGAACAGCACTAGTGTCCTGTTTGGATATACAGATATAAAAGGGCTATTGAGGTTTTTGTCTAGGTGTTACATCAAAACTGTCTTTTCATGATTAAGTTGATGTACTAAAGCTTAAAGACCTAAATTGGTGTCCGTTAGATGTTATCGAGCTAAATCTAAGGGAATATGCGATTTGAATAGCTAAAGAACTTGCAATACAAAGGATACTATATGTTAATGTCAAGCAAATTCCTCTACAGTGACACCTTCTCAAAGTGTTTGATTACCAAAATCTTTTTCCTGGGTTTCTTCTTAGATTTTAAGTTGTTTAAGCTTTCTAAGTTGTTTAAGCTTTCAACTTCCATCTTAACCACTTAGTAGAGCACATTTTTCACTGCTAATACTTGGAAATAGGATATACTAGAGGAACTGTACTAACCTAAGGTGGATCTAAAATTAAGCTTAGGTATGCGTTGCTAAATTAAGCATTAGTTATGTGATGTATTTTAAATGTCTACTTTTTACCATGAAGTAAACACCATTGTAAACAGCCCAAGGGTACTGGGTGCAATACTCTACTCTGCCAGAGGGTGGCGCATAGTTTTCTTCTAGATTTCTTCAGATCATTTGCATTCAGTTTCCAAGATACCTCTGATTTTTTTAAGAGAGAGAGAAACAGATTTCGTCCGAACCTTACTAGCCAACTGCCAGATCAATATTGAACGGACCAGGTGCCTGGTGTGGCCAGCCGAGGAATCTTTGGATATCATCATCTTCCTACTCCTCCTTTTGGCACACAGATAAGAACACATTTAATCTACCCGGGTAGTAAAATAACAATTTTTTACAAACACAAACACCAAGAACTCTCACAATTTCCCACAGGAGCAGCTTTATTTTGACTGAATGATATTTCATGAAAGGACACTTTTTGTTGGATTTATTATTTGTTTTGGGCCCTTTAGCATTCATACTAGAAATTTTAGAGACAAAGAGTGAATGGAGGATCACTTTAACGACAACAACTCAATGATCATGTGGCAGGGAATCAAAACACTCACCAGCTACAAAGACACCCACATCAGCGGACTCTATTGCCGACTGATGCACCAGTTTATTGCCCATTTCGGCTAACACAACAAAGAGTCCCACACCTATTCTGCCACTCCAGAAAGGAAAGCCCTTCCTATACACAGCAACAGCAGTATCTGGTCAGAGTACGGAAAGAAGATGGTCCTGGACACTTGGCAAAAGTCTTTGCCTCCAACTTCCACTTCTCATTACTGCAGTCTACAGTCTGTACTCGTTTTAAGTCAGCCCAAATCACCCCACTGCCCAGGAAAAACACAAAGAACTGCTTAAATTACTATTTCCCAATAACTCTGGCACCCAGTATGACCAAATGTTTCATTATCTCACAGACTAAGGCTTCAATTCCTGTAGACTTCGGTCCAAAACAGTTTGCGCACAGGGCAAAACGGTCAACAGAGGACGCCATAAAAACAGCCACACTTATGTGAGGAGGCTAATTGTAGATTTTATCTTAACAAATACATGATTAGACATGGTTTTCAACCTCAGGTTGACTGAGTTTTCTGATAGCTTTCTGAAAAGTTGATCCAGGATTCTGCTGTGGGCACTTTCTTGTCCTGACCCCAAGCCAGTTGAGGATGACATCTGGCTTGCCTCAGTCTGGTTGTTGCTTTTTCACACTCAGTACAAGCAATTGGATTGAAAATATGTTTTTGGGGATTTACATTAATACAGTAAGCAGAAACTAAACCAAAGCGATTTACAAAGATACCTAATAATTTACAGTTGAGGACACTTTAAATGAAAATTCACAAAAGTCCATTTTGTACATCAGGCTGCATTGTTGGTGCTTGGAGTGGATGATGCGGGATGATGTATCCCCCTTCCATTTATCATCCTGGCTTTCCCTTGCCATAACATGTTTGTTTTACCTCATCAATATCTACCTAATTCTGACATTAGAATATAAGATTAGAAGATTAGATAGTTCAGATTTTGGGTTATGAAACATGCATTTGTCCCCACTACCCTATATACTCAACTGTCAGTATGATTGCTAAAACAGTAGTAGTTCAACAATGTAATAAGTTCCATTAAAGTTTGTTTCCTTCCTCAGTATCTGATGCATACCTTTTTACTCTGAAAAATGTATAAGCTGGCATGGGTTTAGTTCTAAATCTCCTGTATAAATTAATGTTACTGTGACATTTACTTCCCTCCAATTTTGATTACATTATATTCTCTCGTCCTTGAACCCAGTGTGGCTGGGGGGCACATGCTGGCTTGCCCCAGCTGGCTCTCTGAGGTGGCTGGTCGTCGATTTTGGGTGGGCCTTTACTGGGGTCTATGGGGGCTTGGGAATGCTCTCCACTTGGCTTTAGCCTGCCGGGGTTGATGGGCTGACAACCTGGTTCCTTGGGGGCCTATGCCTCATGGCATAGGCATAGGCTTTTTTCCAGGCTCTCTTCTTCTATCCTCCGCGTGGTGTCTTGGGGTCCTCTACGAGCATTTCTGATTCCTGGAGGGAGGTGGTGGAGGCCCTCTGCACCCATAACTGAGCACAATTAATTCAAGAGTTACACCTCACATGTTGCTTGTTAATGCACACATTTATATGCACGTAGTGTCTGAGTAGCTTTGTTCACCTGTATTTTTGTCCATTAATATAAACTGTTTGTTCCATATTTCTGCTGCTTGTGTTGTCTGAATTGATATTTTTCTATTCATTTTGAGGTGTTGCTTTGCCCTTGGTTTTGGTCCCATGGAGGCCTAAGGATATTGTTTTTTGAAGCAGCCAGTTGTTGGGTTTTGTAATGTTTTTGTGTATATATATATATATATATGTAGTATTTTTGTCTTTTTTCTTCTTCTCCTTGCTTTTACGTTACTTTCCCGCTGCCATGGTTTGCATCAGAAAGTCAGAAATACCTTAACAACAATGAATAAATAGGGTGAAGCATCAAGGAAGGATAGATAGTTTTAAAGCCTCCTTTGGTTAAGCATATGCTTTTAGCACAACTACAGAAGTCATATCACCATTCTTCTTGCCATTGTGATGGATTGGAAAAGGAACGAATTATTGAAATGAATTTCGTAGACAGAGAATAGGTGTTTTATAACAGCTAGTTTTGCATATAATCTCATGAACTGGATGATTAGCTTGTCTCACCAAATGAAGTGATATGTATGTAAATAATAATTTACATACATAGTGATGATGATTCCAACAGTTGAAGTACTAATTCAAATAAAAGACCAAACATGCCAGTAACACAATAAAACTGTATTACATTTGTGCTTAAAATGATTACAGTTACAGTATTTACAAGAGTGGTCCTAAAAATAAAAAAATCATGCTGACAGATAAAAAGAAAAAAATTGTGAAATTGCAAGCAAAGATGAATATTTCTCGTATGTACACCCACAATTTTAGAAATAAACTCAGAATTGGTGCAGAATCCTGTAGCTTGTTAAGATGATGATTTTCACTTCAGGAGGATGGAAAATATTTTAGTCCTCTGCAGCAGGTCTCTCTTTTGGCAAAATTGAGACTTAATATGAATGACTATGAAATGTGGATTGACCGTTTTCACTCATATACTTTAAACCAAAACGGTGCATGTGAAATATTGCAATGAATTCAAGTATCATAACATGAAACAATGACAAACATTTGGAAACAGCAGATACAATGAAGTATAATCAAATATTGTAAAAAGAGTAATTGAACTTTTCCAGCTCATCCCCAAGTGATTCTTACATTAATTATTCTGCACAACAAAAGCATTTTAAGTTGAAGTTCAAATCCAGGCAGCGAAAAATACTTGTCAAAAAGCTTTGCTGATTCTAGGAAAAAGGAAAATAATCTTGTTACTTTATGAAAGTTTGACCACAGCCCAGTTTTGACATATTTCTGATAACTCACTGCTTGAAGAAGAAACATCTTACTTAATGCAGTTTTTTATTTGTTAGCATATATATTTACACATCCAGCTGACATAAACCAACGTAAACAATTGTTATTGTGTCAACTAAATTAATCCAAGTATATTATTTTTCTCTCCTTTTTGCACTTTAGTTTTCACCTGTTCCTGAAGAAAATATTTCCCTAGTTAAGATGTTAAAAGCTTTGAAAGCTGAGCTTTTAGAGGGGCTAAGTAAGAAGGAGGTGATAATTGCATTTATTGCTGCTTAATGTTTCACTGCAAGTTCATCACGACCAGAGAGGCCTTTTAGTCTGAAGAAAACATCTTATCCATAATACAGCTTTAGTATAATTGGAGGTTTCTTACATCTGAGAAGTACTTTTATTGGTATTATAATTGCCAATCACAGTTTTCCTTTACAACTGATAAAATATACTTTAAGATAGGAACATATGTGACACTAAGATGGGCCATAAGGAAGTGGTCAAGTGACATATTCTCAAATGTCTTTTTGTGCAAGGATTGATTGTGAGAAAGTCCTCCGTGAAGATCTGCAAGATACTACTGTGATCAATTCAGTGTCAAACTTTACCAGCAAATGGTTAGAAATTGGTGTGAAACCAGGATTTGCTTGCAAGACAGTCCGAGGCAGAATCTGTTTTTAAACAAATATGTAAATGTACAAACATCTGCAATTTTTGTTGTTTGTTTCATGACCTTTCCCTGCCACATTGTCTCTATGGCTTTTCTGTACAATAAAGTGTGTCATTTTTCATGGTGGTTTGCTTAGTTATATGTACATGTGGGGTACCAGAGCTAAACAGGAGGAAAATAGTGCATTTAGTTGTGTGATTGCATGTTCTCCTTTAGTCTCTATCTTTCTCCCACTCCTCTTCTCCAACTGAATCGGCTTGTGAGGGTCAACGAACTTGGGGAGCATATCCCTCCTTCATCAGACCCTCTTCATAGTCAGTCTGGCACAGAATCATGTTGTTCTTCAGGAAAAACTTGTCTCCTACACAAAACCTGCACAACACAATGAAACAAAAGGTTTAGTATACATAAAAACTGAAAAAGCACATTAGGAAAGCACATTAGGCAATGGTTCCTGCTAGCTTTCAAACCTGGATTCCTAACTGTGATGCAAAGTCTGTGTCTCACTGTAACCTTGGTTCTAATCTCTCTTAACAACCACAGTGCTTGATGTTAACTACAACAGTTTAGTAAAATTGATTCAGGAAATCTAGGACTTGTGTGCAAGGGGCATGTGAATTGGAAAAATGTAAAAAACTTAACAAATGAAATTGAAAACAAACCTTATTTTCTGACAATGAAATTTAAACCAGGCGTTTCTGAGGTGTATTTGATGAATCCCACCCATATGCAACCAACTTTCCATTTACTTCACTGTAATTTTGCAAAATATACATCCTTTCGGGGCCGCGCGGTGCTGTGTTGGTTAGCACATCGCCTCACAGCAAGAGGCTGTTCAAGTCCCCGGGGAGAACCAGGACCCTTCTGCGTGGAGTTTGCATGTTCTCCCTGTCTCTGCGTGGGTTCTCTTTGGGTACTCTGGCTTCCTTCCACCGTCCAAAAAACCTGCATGTTAGGTTTATTGGACATTCCAAATTGCCCTTAGGAGTGAGTATGAGTGTGCGTGGTTGTTTGTCTTTGTGTGTATGTGTGTATAGGTGTGTGGCCCTGCGATGGACTGGCGGACCATCCAGGGTGTACCCCGCCTCTCGCCCATTGACTTCTGGGATACGCCCCCCCCGTGGACCCATTTGGGAATAAACGGTTCAGATGGATACATTCTTTTGTTCTATCAGTCAATTTCTAAGTATGAAGCATGAAAATTGTAAATGCGTGTGCTTTTACAAACCTGTTTCACACCGTAGAATTTTTTTTTGTGTGTTTTTGAAGTTGGTTAGTCTCTCCTTCAGAACTTCCACTAGGGATACTTTCCCTTAATCATTACTGACCCTCCCTTGCATGTCACCCATTGCTCCCTACTGCTCCCTTCTTCTCTGGCCTTCCTCCAACCTCTGTAGACTGTGGCCTCCAGCTCTTAAGGAAGGAATTGGGCAAGTGCTGGCAAGATGATGAGACTGGACGACAGCCTCATCGATTAGCTGTCCCCCAGGGCTGATCTGTGGCTAACTGCTTGTGGGATAGAGTCTCATATCGCCATCCTTTTCCCTCCCACCCCCCATCCTCACTAAAATCCCCTGTGTCCTCAGAACTATCTCCATGTCTTTGCTCTACGAATGTAGCAGTGCTTCCTTTCACTGCTCACATGGGGAAAATAACAAGTCTTCCTGGTGGGAAGGTCACAATGGCAGATTTTTGTACGTCTGAACTAAGTAAAGCTACAGCAGGTATGAACAGATCAACCATAATATCTTTTATTAATATGCACTGTTTGTTCCATTCGGCTTCATTGCATTTCAAAATTCAAGTGCCTTTGGTTCTGTAAACACATGTTAAAACAGTTGAAACTTTTCGACCCGTTTTACTATTGATTCTGGTTTAACACTAAAGCCTCCCTCCACCATGGAAATAGACAGCTTGATGACAGGTTGAGTGTGATGATTATAGGATGTAAACAAGCAGTCACAACTTACATTCAGTTTAAGCTATCTAACCATTTTTTGCATCTGTGCCTTCCTTAGTCAGTCAGTTATTCTTTAGCCGAACACAGCAATACACATTATAACACACACACTTAAAATAGACAGAAATCATGACAAGCAAGTTGTTAACCAGTGGGATAGAGTGCACGAACATGCCTGCAAATGCAACTGATAATGTACTTACATTCCAGAGAATTTTGTTTGTGTACATACAGTATCCTCTAGTTTCTTAGATCTCACATGTATGACAATTATAGACAAAGAAATCACTCTCCAGTATGTATGATTAATCAAATAACTGTTTCGCTAAATTAATTAACACAAAAATCTTTTCTTAATTTAAGCTATTCCTTGAAAAAATGCATTTGAACTAACTTGAGTTTAGTTATTAGCAAACAAGAAATTATATAAGTGATTTTTTGTGTGAAAAATGTGAACCCTATTTTGAATACTTGTAATTGTATAATTGTAATTGTAATTGTAATTGAATAATTGTACATCAAATTAAAACTTTGTTGAAATTGACAACAAAGTATTATTGGGTAGATCTATCTAAAAATAAACAGTGGAAAACCAGAGGGCTTGACAGAACCTCTGTGAAATTATAATGAGCAGTAGATTAGTGCTGGCAAAGCCATAGTAAAACACACCAAAATAAAAAGTAATTTAACTGTTGTAATGTACAAAGAGATATTTGTTTGTACTGAAATGGGTTGCCAGGGTAAGACAGATGAATAATAGCTGATTTATTTCTTTTGAAGAAGCTTTATGATCCTGGTAACTGAGCTGGTAATACAAAACTGAACGCTAATTTTGCGCAACCAGGTCTTTGCCTTTAACATGCTCAATATGTCTGATTTGTGTAAGTATGTGGAAGTTTGTTTTGGTATCATTTGAACCTAATTAGTTCAGTGTTAATATTGCTAACTTTACATTGAACGGAATATAGTAGTAGTTGTAGTAGTAGTATCATGTTGGAGGGGTTTGAATATCCTTCTGATCCGAGAAACTATGCTATCTGTGATTCTAAAACCATGGTAGGGATATTCAAGGCAAACAGGTCCTAGGCAAAGGATCAGACAAAGTGCAGAGCGGGAGTCGGCATACTTGTTGCCTCCCATATTGGCGCCTTTACATTGGAGTTTACCCCAGGGAATGGGAGGGTAGCCTTCCTCCGCTCTCGGGTGAGGCGACGTCTGCACTTGTTTGCACTTATGCACCTAACAGCAGTGTAGATTAACCACCTTGGAGGGACTGCTGGAGGAAAGCCCTCCTCCTGGGGACTCCCTTGCTGGGGGACTTCAATGTTCATGTGGGCAACAACAGTGAGAACTGGAAGGGTGTGGTTGGGAGGAACAGCCCTCCCAGTCTAAAAACCAAGAGGTGTTTTGTCGTTGGACTTCTGTGCTCACCATGGATTGTCCATAACGAACACCACATTCAAGCATAAGGGTGTCAAAATGTACTTTTGGCACCAGGATGCCCTAGGTCGCAGTTCAATGATCGGCTTTCTATTCATGTCGTCTAATCTGTGGCCGCTTGTCTTGGATACTAGGGTAAAGAGGGGACAGAACTTGTCACTGATCCCTACCTGGTGAGTTCTCTCCAATAGTGATCGAAGACGCTGGTTAGACCTGAAGGGCCCAAAAATATTTTAGCGTCTGCTGAGAATATCTGCCAGAGTCTCCTTTAATACGGAGCATCCAAGAAGGACGGATGCAGGAAGACAGTGTGGTTTTTGCCCTGGCTGTGGAACACTGGACTAGTTCTCTACCATCAGTCGGATCCTGCAGGGAACATGGGAGTTCACCCAACTAATCTACATGGGTTTTGTGGACTTGGAGAAGGTGTTCGACCATGTACCTCAGGTAATCCCAGAGGAGCTGGCCAAAGTGGTGGGGGAGAGGGAAGCCTAGGCCTTCTTGCTTAAGACGCTGCCCCCGTAACCTGACCCCATATAAGCAGAGGAAAATGGATGCATGAGTGCTTGGATGGATGACAATTATGTTTAATTATAGCATAAATCTCCCAATGAAATTGATTTAGTTTGATTTTTAGAATTTGGGATGATTGAGCACAATACTTTAGCAATAACTACTATCATAATAAATTATTTATGCAGCAATATTGTGTTATTACCAATCATTGGTTTGGCACAGGTAAGACAGTGGGAGTAGGGAAAAGAATGGTCTGGTTCAGTGACTCACCTTTGATTACAGAGCTGACATGCAAAGCAGTCCAGGTGATAGACATTTTCTTTTGCCCTCATTACCATCTCAAATGCTGGAATGAGCTTACTGCAGGCTGCACAGTTGCCTGTTACACCAAACAACCTGAATCATATACAAGCACACAGAAAAAAATATGCTTATGTTATTAATTTAAACCATCATTAAAACAACCAGAATTAAAATGCTAAATTGAACCTCTTTCCCCTTGTTAGAATTATCGACTTCTTAATGTACATGTTAGGCCATGTAACTTTAACTGTAAACCACTAAGTGGTATTCTAATGAAAGCGTTTCAGTTAACAATTCTGAAGTTACCCACATATCTACAGCTTGAAACTTAATTTTGAAAATATATTTCCAAGTGCACTTGTGTTGAATTACATATTTGTGTGGCTTTTCTATAAATGGCATGTCTATAGTAGTTTTTCACATTGTTCACATTTATTATGACCTAAGCAAAAATTTATTTGCTGGACACCAGTTTAACAATAAACATAGCAGTCACAGCTTCTACCAGAGTAATACATGAAACACCCTCATTGCTCAGAGAGGAACATATCATTTTATGGCTTGCTCCAGGGACATAAATGTGAGCATTTATTTGGAACTGAAGACTTGTGACATGCACTAGGCTACCACAGAAAAAATTATTTGATAACAAAATTATACAAAAAAATAACCTATTACGTAGTATTAGACAGTCATTGTTCAAATGATAAAACAGCACAGCACTCTGTGAGGCAGTAAGAGGTTGCAATCTGCTAAATCATCTCAAAGCTTGGTAAATGCAAGGTTGTTTATTAAACTTAATAACACATGTTTCCCCCAGGCAAGGAAAAAGACAAATTCTGCCCTCATGAACTCCAACAAAATTAAGGACTACCATCAACATACCTTACGAATATAAAAGATACCTCTTGTGACATGATAAGTAGAAGAAAGCAGAGAAGACTTACACATTATATTACCTAAAAGAAATGTAATAGATCAAATGTTGTATTATTTTCTAATGATGATAAATAATTAATGATAGATTTTACAATCAATAAGAAGAAAGGTCACAAGGAAGCTTTTCTGATTGCCATCATACAGAGGGTGAAGGTCTTTATCTGAGAGGGTTCAAGTACAGGTTTATTGCCTTTTACAATACTCTACTGTAAATTCAACGAGTTAAAGGCCAGAACCAATAGACAAGCTGAAATCAGTGGACAATTAAACTCCTGTAAAAAGCTGACCCAAGAAAAAAGTTAAATTAGTTTAAAAACAAAACAAAAAACAACTCAAGTCTTTTGTTTGGCTCATTAATAAAATCCCAAAAAATCAAATAAAATGTATGCAATTTTGGTGTAAATAAAAAAACAATAAATATTTTCTGCACATTTTTATTAAAAACTAAAATGCAAAAAAAGGGAAATATTCAACCGAACAAGTTTAGTTTTTGGCAATGTTTTGACTGTAAAAGCCTTCATACTCTTAAAAATGATTGTGGCCTAGCATTCATTCATTTATGGAATGCTATTGGCAAGTAAATGGGAATGCACAAACAATCCAAAATATTATAATTTTTTCACTATTTATTGAAGTATTGTCAATATTGCCATTAGTGAGCATGCCTTTTATTTTGTTCCTCAATATTAGAGACTGTGAAGATGCATTTCGCCCACTTTTCCAATTTTTCCCACTATTCAGCTAATTTCTAAATACTCCATAGAGGCTTTTATTATAGAAAAAATATGAAAAATGATGAAAGAATTGTATCTTTTTAGTACAATATTGTCTCATTCTTCAATGTTCTTTGGATAAAATCCAAATAATGACAATTTGACTTTTAGCTGTAAGTATATAACAAAATAACAATATAAGTTTTTTATTAGTGTATTAATTGCATAGGATTTATAGTTTCTCTGGACTATACGGTATTGTAAATATGATCTTTTAAAAAAACTTGCAGGTTTTAATATTGTTATAGTTGTATTTTATACTCTTAAACACAGACAAACAATATATTAATATTTTGTTAACAGCAATTGGAATTTTTACACAAAGATAATAAATACATATTGCTTTTAAAATCTTCAGACTTTTAAGCAACTCAGGCTCCAGGAATACGTTCTAATCATGAACCTTTCTGCACTGTTCAAAACTCATTATGAACACTAAATAGTGACAATAAAAGTATAATCTGTAAAATATTGAAAAGTGTTACATTTCTCTCCCCTTGAGACAGCACATGGTGGAAACCAGAATCTGATGTAGGTAAGCATTAGCATTTCACATATATGCATTTAATAGATAATTTATTCCAAGGAAACCTCTATCAAACATATTAATATAAATAAACATATGATGCTTTTACCAGTGGTCAGTCTAAATTACAAAACATCTAGCAAAGTAAGTTAAGCTTTTAAATTAAATTCTGTTTGTGAAAAGACAAAGTGTACAATATTTTCTAATGATATTAAATTAAATTAATTAATTACAATTATAAGTAAAACATAAGTGGTTTGTTGCATTTTTCACTGTCTTTATTTTTCACAACAACTGCTAAATAAATGAATTATCATAGAATATAAATGGCTTGGAATTTTTTCTGCTTCTTAACACTGAACCAGAGTAATACTGGCAACTTTAATTATATGCAGAGGCACCAGGACCAGCACCTTACCCTTTTAATTTAGTGGGGGTTTGTAAGGCAATGCCTCTTCAAAGCAACATGCTGAAAATACTGGAAGGTAAAACTAATGTAGGCTACTAGATTGACAATTTTTAAGAAATACTAAGAAATACGTATGCTCCAATAGAACATCTCTCAATATTGTATTGTTTTCTTTTTCTTTAATGTCAGTGAACAAAGTCCATTGACCTGTAAAACACTCAGCTGAATTCAAATCTTTTTTAAGACAGGGATTTATGCTTAAACTCTGACGTGAACCCCAAAATTATGAGGAATGCCTGTAAAAATAAAAGATACCTTTAAAACCAATCGCTGGTTTTGTGAAGTGGGCATATTGCACCTTTTTCATTCACCTTGAGCTTTTATAAAATCAAGGGCAATAACAGAATTTAAAGGGATTAATATAATGCAAAAACAAAGAAAGGTTCTGATAACCTGTCTTTCAGTTGGTGTTAAAAAAATTCTATTTGCCAATAGAATACTTAATCCTTTATGCTTAATTTTCTCCACAACTGTCATCTGCTATCCCTCTCACAACATCAATTGCTCTAGTCCCGCCATGCATTCATCAGCTTCTGGATTAGAATTTGTTTCCTCACAAACCATTGATCATTGGCCTATTACGAGGCAAATGACAGTTAATTACCCACTACATTAACCACCGGGACCCGGGGACCGACTCCCTGTGCCATCAGTCAACATGATGAATGTGGCAAGTTCAGTAATGCATGACCATTTCCTCGTCAGCCTGCCATACACAGAACAACCCCCAGATCTCACTTCAAGGCAGCCAGGGAAAATCTATGGCAATCTGCATAATTACAGGCTCAGGGTTAATAACAGACAAATGATTTGTTGCATCTCAGCACAAGCTTTTTAATGGGGCTAGGGTTAGGTTTTTTTTTCTATTTTGTGATCAGCCCTGGTTGACAACATGCTGATGTCCCACTTGGAATTTTGTTACAGTGACATGCAAAGATTCATTCTGTCTGTGAAAAACGGTAAACATTAAGAATGGATGTATCTGTTATAACAACAAAATTTTGACATGAGCAGGAGAATGCAATCAGAAATGAAGGTTTTGACTTTGGTGGGAGGAGGAAGGTGGGCATTTATCAATTGCAGATGTAATCAGTCTTGCATTTTTTATATTTACTACCCTGAACCCCCAACATGCACACCTTCTGGGTGTGAGACTGTCAATGATTAAGCAACTCCAAGGCCAAGATTATTTCAATTACCATAGACATGACCCAGGAATTGTCACTGGGATAAGATTTTCCTCCTTGAGTGCCCTCACTTGCCTGACTGCAAGCTCTATCAGGTCTCATCTGCTCCTAGACTCTGATATCCAAATGATGAATTATAGCATGCTTTCTGTGAGACTGCAGACCATATGGCTCCATTGAGCCTGTAGAGCAGCAACTGATTTTGTACCCAATTAGTTTGCATAGAATCTCCTAAAAATGTTGAGGAACACTTGCCATTCCACATAATTGGTATTAAAGCCTGTGAAGGAGAAAATATAGGAGCTTTTATTATACTCACTTCAACTGTTGCAATTAGATGTTAGTTCACTTTTACAAAGCCTGTTAGTAGCCACAAACAGGCAACAATCTTATTTCGCAGTTTATATGGAGAAAGGAGAAAAATATAAAAAAAAAATCCTATATATCTATTTGACTGTCTATTATCTACGTAAAACATAAATTACATTTTTAACTGTTTATGAAAGCTGCTCCAAATCATGCATGTAAGATTGATTAAAGAATTGCCTGTTGGAGCAAGTGTGTTCATGCATGGTTATTCATTTCTGTGCGGTCCTACTGGTGACCTGTCAAGGATACAGCCCTCCTTTTGTCCTAAGCCAAATGAGGTGAGCTCCAGCCACCCACAACCCTACTGGGAATGAGTAGTATTGACAATAAATGGATGGAGTGACTTTTTGGCAATGAGGTAACACTACAATTAAAAAAATATAATAAAGACAAAAGTCTGTTTGGTCATGTTACAAATGAGAATGATTTGCAACTGGGTATGACAACAAAAAGGTTTAAACGGGTTCACTCCACTCACCAACAATAGCTCATTTGTAAAAATGATAAAGGTCCTCCAGGAGCATATAACCGTGTTGCGAAGATTTTTCAATACGACATAGAACCATCCTTGATAAAAAAAACACTAAATAATGAAATTCATGTTATACAATTTTGAATAATTTAATTGGTCATGAATACCAGTTGCCTAAACATAACTCACTCAAGACAAACTATAGTTGTGAAGTGTTCTTTAACCAAGTGTGGGAGATTAGAGTGGTGCTCTTGAGAACATATAAATTAAAATATACAAATGATTAAACCTAATCATTTCCAATCACTTGGACATTACCTGTAAAACACAGAAAAAAAACAGTGCATGGAATGTCTTT